GAAGCCACACATTGGGAGCGAGGTCAATTAATTGAGTTCATATATAAAACCTCTTTCAGTGCTCTAATCACGGAATCTCTCTCTAAAGTTAACTCCTACAAATGTCACCTCAGTTAAAATACTCAATGTTTTCCCAAGTCTCTCAGAGTGCAACGGGCTTACCTTGCTCAGAAAATTTCTTCAGTAACAGTATTCCAATCACCAAGGAAATCACATAGATGACCGCAAACCTAACGGGCTTCCTTTTGGCCACGTTGTAAAAACCTCGCTTAAATCTTGAAGGCGTTGGCATAATGTCTAGAAATCAAGCGAAGGCATCCTCCTGAATGAGAAAAATGGATCATGTGTTGTAAATTTGAGAAGACGCTATACGGTTGCGATACTGCTCTACTGAATCCGGTATTAAATAAATCCCATGACGAAAGCTGAAAGTCCCTGACCCAGTATCGACAAGAGACGAAATCTTCGCGAGCCGTTACAACTTACACCAACAGTACACGAATCAGTGTGGAGTTTGCTAAAATTCGCCGGGTTTTCAGAAGTACGTGTACCTGCTAATTAAATCATTCATGCTTTTTACATTGATGATACAGGTACTCAGTTATACTTAATTAATTTGAATTCCTAGCTAACATAACTTCACGTTGGCTAGATATTTTAAACCGACAGTCACTATCTTATTGCGAAACACGAGAGCTTCACACGGTTTCACTATAATTAGCTGAAGAGAGAGGTAGAACAAAGAATGATAACCAACTGTGTAGGATTAATGGACACAAATGCCACGGATATTTGAAACTAAACCGTTAAATCTAAGAATTGAAATCTCTCGAGGAAAGGTGGGGTTGAAAATCCGTCACACTTAGGCTCCGTCCACACGTATCCGGATATTTTTGAATCCGCAACCCTTTCTTTCCGGATATTCGGCAGCGAATCCGGATATTTTTTAATCCGCTCTCCGATCCAGAGTGGAAAAAAAATAAATCCGCAACGAATCCCATAACGTGTGGACGGTGAATTTGGATATTTTTGAATCCAATGACGTTGCAAAATCGTGTCCAGTCTCTTACCGAGAAATAAACTAATATGGCGCACAACGTGTAGGCCTAGTTTCAATTCTCTAGAGTGAATCCGGATACCATTGGATGCGTGTGGACAGGCGAATTCGATTTGAATACGCTACGCGTGGACGGGGAAATTGTTTGAATCCGGAAAGAGAAAGTGGCGGATTCAAAAATGTCTGGATACGTGTGGACGGGGCCTCAAAGTAAAGACAAACTACCTAAATGGACAGTGCGCAGGCGGTGACAGTCAATGGGCGTGACAAACAGCTCACCCTCCCCTTCCCCCAAACAGAACATAATCCTAGCTGTTATCCAATCTCATTCCTCTGAATAATGGAGAACTCATAAACGCAGATTTCTTAAAACACACACATACAGGAAAGACCTCAGAAGCTGGAGCCATTTTCAGTGGCCACACACAAAATAAACCATGGCATAAGGCCTGAGACTAACAAAATGAAAGGACTGAACAGCTCCGTTCAGTTCCAGTTGGAACAAGAAATACGGTTTGGTTCTAAATTTTGGGGGAAAAGTTAAAAAATCTGTTAAGAAGTTTTCTTATAAAGTATAACATCATACTCAAAACAAATGCAAAAACTGATGACACGGGCACAAATCACGGATAGTTA